TATTCTAAAATCATTTCCTGTGGGAAGTCTAGAAGATATTGAAATTTATTTGTTACAATGTTCAAAAAACTTGTCTTTTTCTGTCTTTTGCCACTACAGTCTCTGAAGAAAATAAATATTATCATGAGACAAATGTTTTAATTTGTTATGTTAAGTGGTTACATAATATAAACCTCTGGTGTTTAAGGAATAATCAATATATTGAAGCTTAGGTTCATCTTCGTAGAAATGCCAATCAGCAGTATTTCTCTATAAATTCAAGAAATTATAGACATAAGTATATTCTTAGTGCACTGGAGCTCTTGTTAGGTAATTTATCACGATCATAAAGTTCTTTTTCATGAAGTAAATTATTTCGGTATAAAATATGACTTATCCAAATAAAGTATTAATGACTTCTACTTTATGCCCCTCCCCATTCAACTGTATTTTTCCCTCTTTACTGTCTTCCACGCGCATTTTGTTAGTAATAAAGACATCTTTCAGAATTTGTCCCTGAGATCCACTTTTAGGTACACAAGAGTTGGTACTGACTTTACCAAATTTAGATTTCTAATTTTTTATTCTTCATGGTCTATGCAAACAATGTTCACTAATTTACTTGCCTTTTTTAGGCAAGCCAAGTCAGATGTGAGAGTTGCAGCAGCAAAAGTGGAAGAGTTAACTAAAGCGACTGAAGATCTTCAGGGACAGATGCAAAAGAAGGTATTTTCCATTTCAAAGATAATTGGATGCCTCTTGCTTGGTTTTCTATATATTTTATTGTTTATTAGTTTTGGATTAGGTATTAAACAGGATTGTTAGAAGATGAATTAATCATTTTATTGTCCCTTAAGTATAAAATATGAAAGCAGGAAGCTAAATTATAATAATGGGAAGAACTTAATAAAAAAATTTTTATTTCCATTCTTTTTAGCCTAATTCAATAAAATATCATAATCATCCCTAAGCACATCATTACTGAAATGCAGATTAATTCAAGATCAAGTTTTGGTTAATTGGTTATTTGTAAATGGAAGAGAAGCACTTAAT